TTAACTGTTTAAGTGATGCAAGCGTTAGATTCATGAAAGTGAGATTTCAAGTCAGCATAACTCGATTATCAAGATTTCGTTAAAGACGCAACTTCGGATCCTTATAATGAAAATAATTTAGAATACCTCTATCATATGATCGGAATTTTGTGTGCATACAGTGTATCAATGTTATTTAGAAATGCTATTTTGTAGTTTATAAACCTTATAAATGGACAACTATACACACTCAATATCTAAGATGTACCACCCTATAATGTAAGACTACCCCTCATCACCATTTTAAACTTAAAATTGGAATGGGGAAAAAAAAAACTATTAATCTAATCTGTTGGCATGGAGGAATATTGAAATGGCTAGAAAGAAGAACAATCTTGGTGCAGACAACACTATAATGTGCATATCTTTTTGAAAATGGAGAAGTCACTTTATCAACAATGTAATTGCATGCTTGCAATAGTGAGTGCATGTGTGTGTTTTACTTATATGCAGTTATTTTTGGGTGGGTTACACAAAACATCCATATATATATACACACTTATGCATCTGCCATCTAATAATTTATAGTTTTATATGATACCAAATAACATTTAATTTCAAACTGTGAGTGGTCAATCCACAATTACCACTCTTTACCAGCATTATTGGATCATTACACTCTGATGGAAATGGAAAAGAAAAGAAGAGCACTAGAATATATTTGTAAATTAGTTTATTGTCATTGAGAAAAGTGACTGGAAAGAGAGAGTGTAACCATTAATAAAGCATATAATTAAGGAAGCGAGCATGCAAGATGATGATTAAATAACAGGAATATCAATTATGATAGAAATGAGAGACTTTGATTAATTAATGTTCTCTATCAAAGTTGATGAGGATCCTTTTGATTTCTTTTTCACAATTTGCACAAGTTTAATTAGTATTATATCATATCATGGGACATGTACTCCCTATGTACAAATACCAAAAAGTAAAAAATAAAAAATAAAAAGGGCAAGACCCTTAATTAATTCCTTTTTTGGATTGGTTTAATTAATACATGTGATGCTACCAAAAGGGTAGGAGTTGATTAAAGCATGGGTGATTGTTCCCTCCACTCCAAACAGTATGCATACACACATACATTTACAGAATTATTATACTACTACTACCACTAATAATAATTATTATTTGTTTAAGTTGTAGGGTTGAGATTAGATTATTGGGGGGAGAGGTGTGGGGAGGAAGACAATGAGATCTTGTTACCAGTGAATAAGAGATCTTCTTCAGGTGATTAAAATCATGGAGCTTTGCTAGTGTAGTCTTTTGCTGCTGCTTTTATTATTATTATTATTATTATTATTGGTATTTATTTATATATATGTGGGGGTTTTGAGGTTGTCCCATACACCATTATCTGTCTTGCCTTGGCAGCACACTTGTATTATAATTTACTTCAAAGCTGTCTTTCCTTTATACCCTCAATTCTTTTAAACTAGTTCTTGGAAGCATGATGATAATTAGCTAGCTTTATTTAGGACAATGGATAGGAATACACATGACAGATACAATAAGTCACAAATTTGCCAACCATGAAGTTCGAAACTCACAATTGAGATAGTGGACTAACTCGAGGAATGTCTCGATTTCAAATTTAGCAATCTTCTATCGAAATTTCATCTAAAACAGTGTACAAAGAGACATAAAATTTTCAACAACTATTACTATTTTTTTTAATTAACTAGGGCAAATCTAGGAAAAAAGAGTATAAACTCAATTTAAGGATGCGTATGATTGTTGTCGGTCCTGTAAATTGATTATCCTGCCGACTTTTTAACTTATCGTTAAAGAAGAAAAAACTCCAACCCTGAATATGAGAAAGGAAGGAAAAATTACTGCATTTAGAAGGCAATTTCGGTTAGTTTAGCCAATTTTGGAATAATTAAATGTTCGATACATTCTTGTATTTTAGTGATACTAAAATTTATATTATTTGTTCACCTATATACTCTATCGAGATAGTAGGATAACTTACCTAAATACTATATGGATGCCATGGATATCGATCCATGTCCTAAAACACAGTCAATTCAATTACATGACTCAAATGTATTTCAAAAGAATATATCCAAGATATATTTTCACTCCTACAAATAGAACTATTGGCCACCAAAAGGACTAGAGGGCAACCAACTATAAAATAGCATGACAAGAATGAGAAGCAAAGTAATTAAGGGCCCAATAAGGATGTTCATACTCAAAATCATGGTTCAAAAAGGCATGTTTAATCTTATGCTTAGGCACGCCTAGGCGCAAGGCAATGGAAAAATGCCTCACTTAGGGGTTTCAGGCCTAATTAGATGCAGGAACACTTCAATGGAGTAAGGCGACATATAAGTCTCTACTGAACATTTATAGATGGAGCTAGGAAGTCAATATTAAAGGAGAAAATTAACATCAACTACTAAACAATTTTCTATATCAATATTTTCAATAGCTCAAGAGCTTTGTGATTTATTGATCTATAAATCTATGAATTCATGAGCTATGTTCTTGTCATTAAGTGTTGAGTAAGATATTAAACTGAAGTGAGGAAATGTTGTAGATTATTATTACATTCATCATGCAGTGGGAATAACTATTTTCTTCCAATGCCTAGGCACACTTAGTCTACGCCTAGGCGAGCTAAGCGCTAGGCAAAGGCTCAACGCCCACCTTACGCTTAGCGCTTTTTTGAACCTTGCTCAAAATACTGGGGACATGAGGTTTCATGTGGACAGTGAGTGCATCATCAGTGTAAAGTATTATTGTAGTAAAGTGGGGACATGGAGGAATTTGGCAATTGGAACCCTTTCTCTTCTGATTGTAAAACCGTAACGGAGGTTGTACTAAAAAAAGTTAGTAATAAGATATTTTATGTTGAAACTGTGATTTAATCATGGTTCAACCACAACATAGCGCTAAAATCTGTCTACCTATTTTCTTCGATAAAAACTTTTCTCGGTTGTACCGTCAATCATCAATATGATACGATTTTACAAACACCTACTTTCCTCCCTCCCTCTCTACTATTACTACTCTCCATCTCCTTGCCTTTAACCCTTTAACCAGTCCTAAAGTTTAGGCTGCAGGTGGATATATGGATGAATCATGATTACCCATTTGAGCTCATAAATAACCCCAAAAACCCAGCAAAGCATTTGGAAAAGGAAAGTGTTCATGATGGAAACATGTATATAACAAGCAAGTTACTGATGTACAGATGGAGAGGTGGTAGTGGGAAGTCATTTTCGTTACCCTTTTATTACTCTTTACTACCCAATCTTTGATCAGTAGGTCCCTTTCACCTCCACCCCAAGCCTTCCAGTTTCTCTTTGGTTTTTTTATTTCCTCCCATTCCATAATCATCATATCGGATAGTTTTGAACGGTCAAGCTCCAAATTATTGGCTTTCATTTCGTAGTAAACATAGGATACCAAAACTCCCACCCTCGAACCTTGCTATTTGGGAAAGAACATGAACATGATGTTGTGTTGAGACTTGAGAGCATTACTTGAAATTCCCTTCATGGCTATACAAAATATGAGCATGAGCTTTTGATATACGAAAAAGGAGATGAGATGAAATGAATGATTTGGTAGTGTTAGATTTCAAAGTATTTACTGGATTTTGCCAAGCATCAATCAAGCAATATACGTGTGCTAGTTTCAAACAAATAATCTGTAATGTTTTAGATAAATCCCGTATGGGAGAAAGTATGAAAGATGTTCATGATTCGTAAGAAAAAAACAATCAAATCTTAGCTAACAAGAACAAGACGCATTTTTTAGGTGAAATGGAGACGTGCTCCAGGTGGAGCAGTGCAGAGATGTGTGGCCTTCAGGCAAGTCAGTGAGGGGCAGTCGAGCAACAGTTCAACACCCACCCTGAATCGGGCTAGCTCAAATTCGGGTCAGAATCAGGTGCTCCAGTTGATTATTTCGGCTATCGATCGAAATCGAACCAACCAACCAACCCATTCCCAGGCTGATTCATCGATTCTCCTAAGCACAAGTCGCATGTCCGTGACCCAACGTACCAGAGAACAGTTGCCAACCCACCCGAACTCAGCCCCCTATGTTAGTCTCTCCCAAATTAGCAAATTCCAATTGCGAATTGCCTAACCATAGAGATTAAAATTCACAAATCCCCACTCTCCACTCTCCACTTCCCACTCATACTCTCCTCCCACTACTCCACCTCCAACATGAAGAGATCAAGCAAAGGGTATGCCGGTTGACGAGAAACGAGTGACGCCGATCCTATCTTCCTCCTCTCTCTTGTCTCTCCGCCTCTATCTTCGTGTGACTCTCCCTGTCTCACACCGATCTGACGACCACCTAACGCTGCCAACTTCCCATAAAAGGCGACATCAAAATACAAACCCCTTCTTATTTCCGCCCTCTCCCAATCGAGCACGACCATAGAGGTACATATACAATAATCTCCTTCCATGCCGCCTCCATCTCCTCCTCTTCCTTGTCGAGTATCGACCTTGTGCCACCTCCAATCCTCCCCTTTCTCTTTGCCAGAATGTCACCCTTCAACTCTAATTTAGCCATAAAAACAAGCTCGACCGTCGATAATGGAGCTACATGTAGTCCCCTTATCTCAAATCAGCCTCGTGCCTAGCAGGCCACAAACATGAACACGCAAGTTTTATCGAACTGAACCAACCTATATTTCGAATCAATTTTGGCTGGTGCGCGTTATGCGATTTCGGATTTGTTCGAATTCATTTCGATTTTGAACAAACCAACCCGATACTCACCCTAGATCGAAGTGCATCATCATCATTATTCACTTGTGTACCTTGCGTGCACTCCTCCCTCCCTCGCACCAAAGCTGCCACACGTATGAAACAAACCATCCAAAACCCAAAGAAAAACCCAAAAAACGAAAAGAAAAAAGAAGGGCATGCTCGTGAGGGACATTTCTGTAAATTCGGATCTCTATAAAACCCCACATCCTACCCAGTATTTCCCCGACTTTGACTCTTTCACACTCTTTTTCGCCATTCATTCATCTCTGTGGGCTTTCCTTTCCTTTCCTTTCCTTTCCTTTGAGTGATCCTGCTTGCACCCTTCTCTCTCTCTATCTTTGTCTGTTGGTACTGCGCCTGCCATTCGATTATCGATTCCATCCTAGCTTCTTACTCTCTTCAAGGTGTTACGACGTACGAAGAGTAGCTTTGCTCTCTGCCTCTTCCGATTTTTTTTTGTGCTTATCTGGTGAGTTCTTTTCCTTCTATTTTTTTTCTCAGGTCAAATAGTTTCTCATGTGGATAGATTCTTCACTTGCTTGATTTCTTACTTTCCTAGATGTCGTCCCGTCTTCTGGTGTTTTCGCCTTGTGGGTTGTGATAGATTTTTGGTGCTTTCGTTCTCAAGATTTTCTTTTCTGCACATTTCTTTTGAGCTCATCTTGCGGCAATTTTTTCCCTTTCCGTTTTTTTTCCTAGTTGAAATCTGCAAAATTGTGCCCCAATTCGGTAGGTTTTTTTTTTAAGGTCAGCCTGTATGGCGGATGCTGGGATGCTTTCTTTCTCAGTACCCAGTTGTTTAATTTTGGTTTAACCCTGGCTTCCGCTGCTTTTTAGCATTTCGATTGATGTTATAATCAGATCTAAGGAAGTGGGTTGCCGTAAACTTGTTCTGGGTTGTTATTCTTTACTGATCTAAGGCCTGCTGATTCGGTGTTCTAACTGCGGCGAGACCTTTTCATTTTTCTTTTCTTCTTCTTTCTCCTGCAGGGTTTCTCCGGAAAAGAACTGGTGTTGTTGCCAGCTACAATTGTGGCTATCATTTTGTTGAAAGGGACAGTATGCGGTGGATTCTGACTGCTTCTGTTGATGTTTATCGCAACGTTATCTCCCTCAACTTGTATTGCAGAGTGATTCTGTAAACCCTTTCCTTTGATACCCAGAGATCACACCCCCCTTTTCATTCTTTCCCTCCTTCAATCCATAATCCTTATCCATGGGATCTTCCTTTTTCTTTGTCGTGCCGTGCCTTGTGCGCCAGATTAGTTGAATACTAGAAGTTATAAGTCCCCTCCAATTTCTTAGTTCTTCTTTTGTGTTTCCCTCAAATTTTAGCTAGCTCTCTCCCCTGCTTGAAGATTCGGGCGTCTCAATTGTTGCTGATAAGTCTAGATTTCACTTGCAAGTGATTCATCTTGTAATTGGCCTGGTTTGATTCATTCCCATTCGAGACTGCCATTGTGATTACACATTGAAGGGATTGTGAAGTAGTTATGGTAAGCCAAGCAGCAAGCCAAACAAATTTTCGGGCTGTTAAGTACGAAAATGGGATTGCTGGGAGTGCCGCCATAGTTGTTAGAGTTATTGCATGCTTTCATACATTAGAGGAGTGCCAGGTGAGTGTTGATACCTTACTTCCTTGTGCTGTTTGATTCCATGTGCGCTTTGACAGGTGTTTTGCAAATGGTGTATACTGATTCTGTTCCCTCTTCTCTGATCTTCCAGGCTGAATATTTCCGTCAATTGCTGAAGCCTGTAACGTAGATATTGTTTCCTGCATTTGTGTTTTCAAGCTTACACTGGAGTTTTTTCTTTTTACAATTGCAACTGAAAGAATCAGCCAGTAAACCCGAAGCTTTTGACATCTGAAGGTCTTTGCGGTATGTTTCTTGTCTCTTGCTTGGAGTTCAGTCATTAATAAGTAATCTTCTGCCCTTGTTATTAGCGTTTGTATTGATTTCTTCATGTTCTCTGTTACAGGTGATTACTTGAATTTGGATGGGAGACCCTTTTGGTTCCTGGATCCCACAGCAACTATTTGATTGGAAATCACCAAATTTGGACTATTTGGGTTCTCAGTGTTTCCAATCTGGTCAACAGGATCATATTCCTTCACATATGAACTCAAGTATTCCCATGGTATCCCCAAATGGGAATCTGGGCACCCACCCTTTCCAGGAGCTACCTCACTCAAGGGTTCATGGTCAGACCAATGAACATGATAGCTGGTTTTATGGGTTGCCACATTTCAGACAGGCCATTATGCCTGATCTTGACTCTGTTCTTCCAAGGGAGAGGCTCTACTCTGGCCCCAAGTCAATGATCAATCCCATAGCAGAATCTGACAGTGGTGGCCAGAAGAGATTCCTTGTCTTTGATCAGTCTGGTGATAAAACAACTCTCATCTTCAGCTCGGGCGTTGTGCCACCTGCTCCGTGCCTTACTTCATGGAGTCCTAAGCCAATTGTTGCCTCCAAGTTGAATAATGAATGCCCTGTATCAAAGGAGCCTCTAAATCTCCAGTTGAATCTGGTATCAACTGAGAACGACCATGACTGTGCTGGTTTGGAGAGTGAGATGCCGGAGGACACCGAAGAACTGAATGCGTTGCTTTACTCCGATGGCGACAGCGATTGCTCAGATGATGATGATGATGAAGTTACCAGCACAGATCATTCGCCCAGTACGATGACAGCTCACAATAGTCCACGCGGTTTGCTCAATAGTAGCAAAGCAGAAGTGGTTGCCAGTTCTGATGGTTCTTCGACTAGGAAAAGGAAGCTGTTTGATGGAGCTCACAGCGACGACAAGCCATCACGTGTCGACACTGCCAGTTCCGTGAAGGTGGACATCAAAGTGTCCGAGTATGAAGATGATGCTGAATCCAGGTGCTTTGATGGGATGGATTCAGCATCTAGTGAAAACCCTGGTTGCGAATTCGGCAATAAGAGGCTGAGGATAGAAAAAATACGCGAGACAGTGAACGTGTTGCAGAACTTGATCCCAGGTGGGAAGAGCAGGGATGCAGTTGTGGTTCTAGACGAAGCCATTCATTACTTGAAGTCACTGAAGGTGAAAGCAGAAGCCTTGGGGCTTACTGGGCTAGCAGGTGAATGGTGAGCCGCAGCAGTACTGTTACTGCAAGTGGAGTGCCAGTAGCAGACGCTACTGGGCAGTTACAAGTACATTACTATTTAGAACCTCGTATCCTCGGTGTTTCCGGAATAAGCTTGTGAGTTGTGCAGGTGGAGTAGCAAGTAAGTATCGAGTTGTTAAGTTGGTAAAATGTGAAGTTTGCTTAAGGTGGTGAATAGTTGGCGTGAAAGGAAGGGTTCCTTGGAGTTGGAGGGAGAGAGCCGATCCAAACAGTAGCAGGTGGTCTTTACTCTTCTGTTGAATGATGATGAAGTTGGAAATCAGTGGCAGGCTTTAGATATACGGGGGAAAAGAGAGATATGGGTGTTTCTTTTATCCAGCCTCTAGAAAGGAAGAGTGGGGGAGTGCAGAGCCTATAATTGCTAATAAAGTGAAAGATGGAGGAAGAATGATTAAGGAGATGGCTATGGGCTTAGGGTTTAGTGAAAGTAAGAGGATGGAGGGGTCAGAATCAGATTTGGCGTGGCCTTGTGGCCGTTTAATTCAAGGAAAGAAACAGAGGGACCCTCCAGAACGCACGCTTCAACAGCTTCCTTGCTGCTACTTGGGTGAATTATGGTTTTTTATATAATCAATCAATCAATCGTCTCGAATGTTGGGAGATGGTAAAGTAACTTGTGTGGTGGCCTCCTTTTGGTCAATCTTATTATATAGTAATATTTGTCTTAGTAGTGGTGCTGTATTTCGTATGAGTACTTATGGGTACAAGTACAATGTTGGTTTTGTCAAGTTTGGGTGGACTTTTGCTGTTTATGAAGTATGATATAATGTAATGTAATGGTGGGTTGGAGTTTTTTGTTGTTGTTGTTGTTGTTGTCATCACGCGGATTGTATTCACGTGGCATGCGTCCTATATTTTTACAGCATATCATATGCTTATGATATGGATACAGAGAGGGTGAGATAGCGATGTGTCGTTCTCTGTGGGAATGCGATACTTGCTCCACCATCGATGCATCAATTCAACGATGGTATGTTTTTGCTTTTACGTGACTTATTATTCTTGCTGCTGCTGCTGCCTGTCAATTGTGGGTTGTGACAGCAAGCAATTGGCACGCCGCCGGTGACTTTATTCTTTCAGTTCCGGCTGCTGGTACTGCAGCAGAGCGGGGTTCTTTTGTCCTTGTTCTTGCTAACTCCTTTGACTTTTGTAAGGCGTGGCTGCATGTACAGATGAGGACAAAGGAAAAGAGACGGTGAAGGCCAGGAAGGAAGGAAGTCGTTGGATCATATTACCACGGAAGAGGAAAGCTAAAGGAAAAAGAATATTGTTTGACAGGGTCTAGAATCTAGATAGATAGACTGTGATTCTGGAGAAAGAAGAGAATAACTGCTGAGGCGTGGCGTGGGAACGCGCAGGAAGGAAGGAAAGCAGGCGTGCATGCGCTGCTGCGACTTGTTCCTGATTCCCAGGTAGCATTACTAAAAAAACTGCGACTTTGGTGATGAGTGAGTGAGTGAGAGAGACAAAAAGGCAGGGGCTGACGATCGAGTAAAGATATGCAGGACAGGAGGGTTCAGTAGCTATTGGGGTTGAGAGTAAAGATCAATGACGTTAACTTGTTAACCACTTAGCTGCTGCTATTGGGCAGCTCAACATCAAAGAAAGCTCTGTCCTTTTTCCCACCTATTTTACTTTCTACTGATTTGGCCATTTGGGTATTGTTCAGCAGATAAAAGGGTGATTGAGATTGCTTTTCCTTCTTCAAAAATTTCTCCTTAAAAAGGCTATTGTATTTGTGTTTAACTTCTTTTACTTCATTTTGTGACAAGTTTTATACTAATTTTGAACACAGTTTTAGTCATTTTTATTTAGAGGTCGTTTGGAAGTTGCGATTGTTAGTGTTGTATTTGTTAAATACATGCATTGTCCACAATACAACGTTTGGAAGTGTCAAGTTGCAAAACAATGCATGTATTGTTTTGTGTGGGTCCCACCAACAATCAACAAAAATGAGGGATTGTACAATCTCAACTAAAAGTTGAGATTGTTGGTTTAATAATTGAGCACATTTACTTTTTCCAATTATGTCCATAATTTTTTTTGTTTTATATTAAAAATGGAGGACAAATATGAAATTTCCTTATAAAGTAACTTTATAACAATCAATTCATAAATTATAATCCAACAACCAAACAATGTAATTTCAAAATGCATCTATTGTATCAATGCATGCATTTATATGATAGTGATTCATAAAAATACAACGAATTAACATACGCAACTTCCAAACGACCCCTTAGATATGTTTTGTAATGGCCAAACAAGCATTTGAAGTCGTCTAAAAAAGTTTTTTATTCATTTTGATACCTTTGGGTATTTTTAAATATTTTTAGGTCAATGTATCATATAGAATCGTTATGTATGTGCACTAGGAATAAAAAACCCAAACATGCATTTGAAATCGTCTAAAAATGTTTTTTTTATATTCATTTTGATACCTTTTTGAGTATTTTTAAATATGTTTCATAAAAAAAAAAGAACAAAAAGCCAGAAATTTAGTTGGAGCGGGCCAGGCTATATGGGTGGATCGCTAGGACGGTCCATTCACTATGTCACAAACTATGAGAAGTCCAATTTTCACCTTCTGACGATCCAGGCCATAAAGCCACACTTGAAACACCCACGAACCACTACAACCAGCCCGAGATGGGCTAAAGGGAAAATGACGGTCCAAACCACAATAGGGTTTGCTTTCGAAAATACACTCTGGTGAGACTCAATGACACCAAAACCGGAAAAGAAGGGCGACAATCAAGAGGTAATCATGGTGGTGTTTTCTTTCCTTCTCATATATGTTTTTTTAGTGTATTAATGTGTAGCCAAAACCCTAGATGACCAGTCTAACTTTGAAGAACATGCTCCTGTAATCAGATGGCCAATCAAGCTTTGATATCCCTCCATCATCCATTTGTTTATCTTTGTCGAAGATGGCTCCATGGGTGTAGATTGAATCCATTTTAATGATGATGGTGAATGAACTCTTTGTTATGATCCCAATTTACATACCATTGAATCTTTCATGGATCGACGAAGAGGTAAATTCAAGTGGAAGGCAGAATCGGAATTTTGGTTAAGTGTTGAAGTTGTTCCAGGTAACACAGGCAAACTGCCAGGAATTGCCTAAGGCATGGAGCAGTTGCAAGCAGGTCACTTTGGGGTCCGTTTCACGACAGCTTGCTGTGAGTCACGTTTCAAGGCTCCTGCCACATGAAAGCCTGTATTTTCTAGTACAAAAGCAAGGGGTTGGGTGATCAATTCGACAACTGGAAGGCTGCCAACAAGGGCTCTGAAGATGGCATCAAAACTATGTTTTACTTGCGTTTTAAGTTTCCGTATTACTTTAGGATTTGGATTGTTTTCGTTTTTCCTTGTTAATTTGGGTTTCCTTTGCGTTTAAGGTTTGTTGTAAGTCTATTTAAGGAAATACGAAGGTAATGTAAGAGGAGAGTTGAATTGAATTAATTTTTACCATAATTCCCAAGCTTGAGAGTTTGTGAGTTTGAATTGGCTTTGATTGCAAATTGCGATCAAAGCTTGTTGGCCGGCTTATTGAACGAGCAAACACACTCGTTCACATCGAAAGCTTCACTACATGATTGTGCATTCTTCCAGGTGTAAGGATTCCCTTTCGTTCCATCCAATTTCGAGTTCAATCCCCGCTTAATTCGAGTGGGGTTTGAGTTCTGTTCTACTCGAGATCAAGTACCTTGCTTGATCTAGTTTTCTATGCAATTTTGATTCCATTGAGACCCGACTTTGGGCTCATCACTCTTGATAGTCTTCTAATGTTCGCACTCCAACTCATCGATCTCCTCTAGCTACGACTTTGGCCTTGTACGGGCTATTCGAATGCCATTTGTGCTAGCTTCAAATTCGGAGTTGGTGGAGCTTTTTTTTAACTCGTCCCCTCATACTAGATCACATTGTTGTGATGATATGTTGCATGGAATGAATAATCATGTAGAGATCCTGACCTAGTCTTGATCTCTATCTTTGGCTCCATCTCTTGATCCTCGAAATCATCATCACCTACCACTTGATTAGTAATTTTAGATTCACAAGATATCAATATTCGATGCACGATTCCTCCTACGTGTAATATGATTCTTCTTTTACTGCGTCGATCATGGCACCGGCAGTGACAAGAAATGGTCTCCCGAATATCAAGGTGTATTGGGTTTCTATCTTCGTATTGATTACCATGTAGTCTAGAAAGAAGATGAATGACTCGATATGAGTGATTAATCCTCGTGCTACTCCAAGTGCTTCACATGGGATTTTATCAACTAGCTTGATCTCCATATGACATCCTCCATGTTAGCTAGATTCATATCTCCATATAGTTAAAGTGGAAGGATTTTGATGCCAGAGCCAATATCCATCAATCCTTCATCGAGATGATAGTTGTCTAGGAGATAGTTGATCATGCGAAAACTCGGATCCTCTTTTTGGTCGTGTACTGAGATGATTTCTGTGTCCCCGAGGAGTTGATTTGATGATGGTCTCCTTATGCTCGATCTTCTTATCAACCTCCAGAAGTAGCTCGAGTTGCTCTTTTAGATTCTTTAAAGCAGTGATGCTCTCCAATAGTGACAGGACACTCATCTCTCCTCTCAGTGCTTTGATCAACTTCTGAACAACATGAGTATAGTGAGTGGTTCTATCAAAGGTGGTCATCTTATCCACCAAGGGTATGTATTCTTCTTTGTCTTTCTCCATGGCAAGAGATGTTGCCATGTTTTCAGTTGGATCGTGCATTAATAGCCTCCTTAAAGTCACCTTCTCTCCTTCTATGATGGCGGCCTTCTTACTCATTCTTTGAATGGATGCTCCTCCTTTATCCTCCACCATCTCAAAAGGATGGATCTTCACAACTCCTTTTTGCACTCCTCCTTTGTTCCCCACAATCTCAAAAGGATGGTTCTTCTCAAAATCTTTTGGGAAAGGGCTCCAACAAGTTACATTCCCAAATTTTGTTCTGAATCTCGTGTGTAGGGGTGAGGGAAAAGAGAATGTGGTTGCCTACCGGCAACCTAGTAGTGGTGCCCTTCGCTTCCTTTTTCCTTGCGGGAAATAGATTATGTAAACTCCTTCTTAGAGTAGGAAAAGAGAAATTAGTGGCGGCAGGGACTTCTTTAGTGGCGTTGATGTGGCGGGTCAGACAGTCGCTGCTTCTTTCCTTCCAGGTTATGAATTTCTTTCCTTTTCCTTGCAGGAAAAAAGAAAAGACTGACGTTGGGTACACTTGTTTGATTGCTTGGGCTACTTAACAACGAATTGGAGGGCTCGTCACAAGAATTTCAGTAGCATGTCAGTCGTCATGGGGCCACCATGACTACTTCCTTCTCATTTTCGGAGTTTCTCTTTTTTTTCTTTCTCTTGAAGTATACTTCAAATACAGAACTTTTGAACATCATTGGTTTGTCATGCTCCTGTCTTCATCTTTCCTTTTATATCTCCATGGATTTCAAAATAAAAGACAAAAAAATAAAATCAACAAAACAAAGAGAGCGAGTGCTTCTCCTCCTCAACATAAATGCGAAAATAAACAAACTATTCATCAATTTACATCACAACTATCTCTTTGTAAGCATCTCTCAAAACATATTTCAAATTTTAGATCAACCCCACACTTTATTTAAATAGTGGGTACTTACCTTGTAGTTTTTTAATGCTAAGAGGATGTGTCGAGAGGGATACGTGGGATGCAGATGATAATGATCTAGAAACATGGGTTGTCTCCTCAGTAGCACTTTTCTTTTACGTCCTTAAATTGGACGCCAGACTTGGATTGCCTCCCATGAAGCGCACTTACTTTTACTCCTTTGAGTTTGACGTACTTTCAATCCCATCAATGATAAGCAACGATACATCTTCTATCATGTAACATTTTTCCTTACACTAAGGCCATCCTAATCAAACTTTCTCCACATGCGAAAGAAATTATGACTAACTAATGCGTGCTTTCGCTTCATGCCATTAGACTAATCAATCAAACAAGGAAGTATGGATAACACATTAACTATTTAAGGCCTGTGTGAACCACAGTAATGTTCTATAGCATTTATGATATAAGGTATCAAGTATTGATCCCACATAAACATACATAATTGTGTCTACCTAAGCATACGTGTTGGATTTGGATAGCTCCCTTTTCTTGGCGGGAGTAGACCAAGTTTCTCCTTTCTTGGCGAGAATGGCCAGGGGTTTCTTGATTTTGAAATTGGTTGCCTTCTATTCAATTGATTCCTACCTTAAATACATGAATTGGAAATAAGTTATCTAAGTGGAACAAACTCCACGTTCTTCTCTAATGCTATTGCACTTTCTCCACTAAACATGGAGATAATTATTCCTAACCATCACTAACTCTAACAACTTGCACCACTTACTCTAACAACAAATTATTCTAACCACTTGTCAACCTGTTCAACTCTACTAACAAATCAAGGACAAAACTCTACATCGACGAGCTTGCTACCTGGTGTTATGGGTTGGGCTACTCCTCGTTGTGACGGCAACAATGTTGGGCTACGACACTCGAGCTGAACGATGTATGGACTCATCATTACCAACCCCTGAAAAACGGCCTTATCCTCAAGGCTGAGCTTAATGAAGCAATCATCGAAAACGGAGGCCAACCTGCAGGCATTGATGAAATGCGGTCTTCCAACACCCAATTTCATTCTTGACCTATACCCGTCAGTTGGTTTGGTCCATAACTCAACCCATATAGCTTAACTGGCTTGTTGACCCCTTTTCAACTTCTTCATCTGCTCCTCAAACGCCGCTTGCCTGCTCTCAATCTTCTCCCACACTCTACGCTTCCTAAAATGCTTCCAGCTCCTTCCCGAGACCCTCCTCGAGATCACCTCGTCGTAGGTTGTGATCATTAAGGTTAGCATGTCAAGATTAACGGTAGAGGGGGCCATCGACTGCTTCGCCGACAGGGGCAAGGAAGATTCGATCACCATCGATTCACTATTGTCATTGTCGGTGGTGGCGGTAGCTTCAGCATCGCACTTGCGCTTGTAAGTCTTGTCCCCAAAGTCTTTGTCAAGGTAGCGACAATCAAGAGTGCAGGCCATTGCTTCTTTCTTCATTGGGCTATGACACTCCAGCTGAACGATGTATGGGCCCATCAGCTGTACCCGCCACCACTAATGCACTCTTATGATGTAGAGTGATATCGTTTCATGAACCTGTGTATTTTATTCTATTTTGGGAAAGAACTAGGGAGATTCTACCATTGTATTGACACCCATGCATATGGGGTGTGATTGGCGTGCGTATTGAGCTTAATATTTTCAATTTTTTGAAATAATGTCACACTCTCCAAAGTAATTTCAAAGCTCATCTTACTTTGAATTGCTAGTCTCTGCATTATTACGTAATCTAGGAAGACTAGTGTAGGGGATATGAAGGATGTTCTCGTCATGAGAAATGAACCAATCTTAAAACGTAAGGATATGTGCCTTTCACTGTCTTTTCAAGCTCTTAAACTCCTCATCTTGAGTCTTCTGATCTTAATAGCAAAAAGGGGGTGATTTGACCAATCTTAAAACGTAGTATTTGTGATGTTTGAGATATTTTATATGTGATTTAGAAGTGTTCAATCGTGTATAACTGGGTCGACGGTTTGTTGAGGGTTGGAAGCCACTACAGTCAATCTCGACCTAAGATGGTTGGAGATGGCTTGGGTTAGAGGAGAGTACGTAGGTGGATGAGTTGGAGTTTGGTAATTGATCATGACGGTTAAAAAAAAAGTATCAAGAAAGATATCTGGAAAATAGGAAGAGAGAGAGAGAGAGAGAGAGAGAGAGAGAGAGAGAGAGAGAGAGAGAGAGAGAGAGAGAGAGGGAGAGGGGGGTCCGAGCATAGGAGTCTGGCCAGACTTGGATATGAAATAATTTCAGGTTGATTGTTTGGGGAAAAAATGTATATTAATGTCTGTCCTCCCTCAAAACGTTTCCACTATTTATACTAGGCAAATCAGGTTAAACATCATTGATGCTAAGTCCGGGCACATCGGTGTCCGAGCTCTCTAAGTGTATTTAATAATAGTGCAGATGCATGTACGTTTATCGGATACAGGGGCGGACCTAGTGTTAGGGAAGGGGTGTCATCCGACACCCCTTTGTTCAAATTTTTGTGGAGGACCTCCATTTTTTCCGTACAAAAAAATTTAATTTGGAACTTTCGATATCGCTCTAATAATTATAAACAACATACCTTTATTGTACGATAATAATTTTATTGTTATAAATTTATTCATCATAATTAGTAATTAACAATAATAAGTAATATCAAATAAGAATGTTTTAAAGTAACCCACAACCCAATTTTCCCCCAATTTAACTTGTCAATTTGTAGTTAATAGGTGAATTGAGTAGATTTATGGTAGATTGTGGTTTGATTTTGGTTAATATAGTAGAACTAGAGAAATAATGCTAATGGTATGACTTTAGGCATACTTTGTTTTGTCTAAAATTGCCATTTGGTAGATTGTGATTTACTATATTTAATTATAAACTAATTTATTTTAACTTTGATTTTAGACGTGGGTCGATTCTCTTTAGTTGAGTGACTAATCTATGAATGATTATGTAGTTGTGTATATCGAAAAAGATTTGATTTGTATTTAAAAAAAATTCAAGATATGAAAATTTGTCATGATTTGTAGTAAATGTGACATTGTGAACTCATGAATTGATTTTTAGTAATTTTATTTGATTTTTCTTTTTTATTTATTATTATTTTTTATCGTTGACACCCTTATTCGACAATCTTGAGTCCGCCACTGATGGGATATATCTAGAATTGTAAGTTATTATTATTATTATTATTATGTGGTCTGATTATAATTTGGGATTGTTTATGATATATATTTGTGTCATTTGATGTGATTCCTCCAAGGAATGGTAGAAATACCATTGCCTAGGAATGATTCAACTTTGCAGTTATTTGAGCCAAAACTAGAGAAACACATGCGAATGTGAACTTGAGCAAGGAGTGTACGCATGCTTGCGCGGCTAATGAATTGATGCAATGAGAAGAGATGGAATTGTTGAGGCAGTGCAAGCTGAGCATTCTTAGTTTCGGTGTGATGGTCAACCAATTGAAAGTATGAAAGAATGCAAATTGGACAACTTGGATGAAATAAGTTGAGGACAGAGATTGTTGGAATAAGTGGCTGAAAATTTAAATTCACACAGCATTGGCACATTAATTGTTTGCCACTGTCTCATGGGCATATTAATTAATTCATTAATTGGGTGGACAACCAGCCAACTCTCTCCCACATTTACTAGCATTCGGTGCTAATCAACTGCTATAGAAGAGGAGGGCTTGAATTCTTGCATAAAAGGAAGAAGTCGAGTGAGAGGGGTTAGGGGCATTTGCTGGAGGAGTGGCAATGAGACCGGTTTGGGGCGAGTATTTCGATATTCGTATTTGTTTCGTGGTAGATTGGGTCCAGATGAGGTAATGTATCATGGGGTATGGATTGAGGCAGATCGACCCAATTAGTATTTAATTTACATGGGTAAGGGTTTATTTTGTACAAGCCGCCTCTATTGGGTTGGGTGTAGATTTTGGGTTACCCAACCCGTAGATTCCGACCCAACTCGTGTTCCAACTTTTGTCATAAATGTTCGTATCCATCACATAATTGTAAGAAATTTCAGATATTTAATCATATTTTTCTCTTGTGTTTTCTCTAACGTAATACATTATTCCACTTAAAATTTAAAAAACTAGACTTATTTTAGAAGAATAATATATTATGAATGTGTTCACTTATAATCATTTTAGTTTATTTTGAAAAATGTTTGTGGGAAGAACTAGACTTATTTTGAAACAAATTGTATTTCATTAAAATGAAAATACCATTTATACATTTTGATACTTTCGCTTTGATTTATTTGTTTAAAAATTTAATTAGTTATATAATATTTTGTGGCGTAGAATAGTTTTTTGTGGGTTGGGTTTGATTTTCATTTAAAAATATCTCTAACCCGATCTAACCCAACCCAACTGTAAACAAACCGTAGGGTTTCAAATTTTTGGATAGATTAGATTTGATATTATCAAAATCGTAGTGTATAAGTAGGATGATTAAAATGACCAAATCCAAACCAGCGGCAATGTACACCCCTAGGCCCTAGTTGTTGTGACAACGAAAAACGGGCTAAGATCAAGTGACTAGGGGGGTCTCTTGCCTAAGTCGATCTTAGCCCTTTCACCTCATTAAAATCCAATTTAATGAAAGACAATAAAGTAATTTTATTATTTTTAATTTTTATTTAGCAATTAAAATAAACAAAAAATATGATCCGCCATTGACTACTGTTGCGGCATGGCTCCCGACGGCCGGTTCTTTTCTCCGACGGCATGGCCATTTTTCGGTGGCGATTGCGGAATTCTCCTGGCGGAGGGCCTTTTATAGAGAGAGGTTTTCTGCTGATCGAAGGAGATTTTCCGGCGACCAGCGACAGCGGAGAAGGATTTCCCTGTAACAGTGTTGGATATGTGATGTTTATTGACATATTTTGTAATGTTTGTAAGTCTGATTTGTAATGTTTGTATCGATTCAGTTTGTATTGTTTATCATTCTTTTTTGTCATTTTTAGTGACACTTTGTACATTTAGTATGCTTTATACTGTTTGTCGGTTTATTTTGTAATGTTTGTACGCTTTGTTATTTTGTAATGTTTGTCGGTTTATTTTGTAATGTTTGTAAGCTTTGTTATTTTTGTGCACCATGTTTATCATTTTTTTCAAGCATGTTTGTAATGTTTTTTTATGTCTAAAAAAAAACTTAGTTGACTTTTGGATGAAACTCTTCTATATAGGGATGAAGCCTCCCAAGTCAGTCCGAGTGTTTTTCCCGTTTGTATGGTTTGTCGGTCTAGTTTGTCATTTTTGTCCAACATGTTTGTAATGTTTGTATGTCTAAAAAAGAACCGAGTTGACTTTGGGACAGAGCCCCTCTATATAGGGATGAAGTCTCCAAAGTCAACTCGGTTGTTTTTTCTTTTTGTATGGTTTGCATTTTTTGTCGGTCTAGTTTGTATTGTTTGTACAATTCATATGTTTGTAAAGTTTGTAAATCTATTGGTATGTTTTGTCGTTGTAGTTTGTATTGTTCGTACTATTGTAAGTCCAGTTTGTATACTTCGTAATTTTTCATAATACCCAAACTACCCCATGTTATCAATTAAATAGCTCTTCCCACTTTTTAACCGTTAGATAGATGTGTACATATAGAAGAGGCTTAGTCAAGTGACTAAGTACCCCTAGTCGGAATGGGTTAGCATGGTTACTTTATTTTCAGTAATCATGGTGGCTACCAAAATCTCCACCCTTCATTATCTTATTTTAAACTATTTTTAAATTAACGGTAAAGATTATAATAAGGGTAATTTTGAAAATGAAAAAAGTACCACACCTAATTACTCTATATATTGTACCCAAACCCTAATCCTACTACAACTCACCCACTCTCTTCCCTGCCTCCGCCGCCCCACCCCATCCCTCCCCCCTCCCATACTCTCCTACCACCACCCTCCCGCTACCCCACCCAAACCCTTCTCCATTCCCACGCCCCACCCCAACCCTCCTCCATTCCCAAATCCTCTCTCTCTCACTCTGCGGCCAAGGTCTCCCCTCCTCCTCCTCCTCCTCCTCTCTCTCTCTCTATATATATATATATATATATATATCTATGAGAGGCTCTAGATCTGGGTTTACTTTTTTTGTACTGGTTTATTTGTTTCATTTTATGAAATGGTACTTTTGATTTTCTTAATGATATTGATTTATTTATGCAATGGTATTGTTTTGACTTTTGTAACGATATAGATGGTTTATATTGGTAGTTTTCGTGTAATGATATTGCTTTTCGTAATGGTATTGATTTATTTCCGAAATGGTAGTGGTTGTCCAGCGGAGATGTTAATTTAAATATGCAATGGTATTTATTTTTTGCGAAATGATATAGATTTATATTGGTAAATTGTTTATATTGGTAGTTTTCGTGTAATGATATAGATTTATTTCTGCAATGGTATTGATATTTTTCGAAATGGTAGTGGTTGTCTAATGAAATTAGTAGTGATTTCGTGTTTTTTTCCTTTGCAGAAAGATTAAGAAAAATAAGGAAAGGGGATCTTGCTGGAGATTATGGAAGTGAGAGAAAGAGAGAGAATTGTAATTAATAGATTATTGTAACTACCTAAAATGCAATTTATTAAAAAAATTAATTAATATAATTTATTTTTCATACCCAATTTACCCTTAGTAACCACGGTGATTACTAATCACCGTAACCTGTCCCACCCCTAGTCACAGGATCCGGACTCAACGAAAAACACAAAACGGAATGGGTGATAAGTATGGTTGTCATGCCGATGGCATGCCACCCGGTTGAATCTGGTTCAACCTGTGCCGGTCATGAAACCGACATGACACCACCGGTATGACCGGTATGATTGACTTACGCATTCTAAGCAAAATGACATCATTTTAATGAATTTAATTAGTAAAAAAATTAATTTATTATTCATTTTATGAATTTAATTGTTAAAACTTGATGATATTTGTTGGATTGTTACTAAATTTTCCACAAAAATGTTTTATATATGATTAAATACATTGGATATTAATTATTTTCACATTTTTTTAAATCGACATGAACCGGCAAACTGGTTATACTACCTGTCGTACCATTCCACTTGCCAAACTGGCACAAACTGATTATACTACCGGTCGTACCATTCCACGTGCCAAACCGGCACAACGATATAAACCGGTTTGACAACCTTGGTGATAACTGATAAGTGAACGGGCGTAATCCGGCCCAACTAGATTAGATTGGAGGATATATATTGGAGGATTCATACCCCTCCGTCCCCATTTACACCAAGTCACTAGCAGCACCAAGCCAGCAACAAACTGCAAAGCATACGCTCAAAGCAGTTTGTGGAGAGGGCCGCCGCCGCCGCCCAGGCCACCGTTTCCTTCTGGGTTTCCCGCCTCCATCCATCGCCACCGCCCTCCTCTGCGCTCCGTTTCCTCTCGATGGACGCAGTCTCCGAGGAATCACTCCGCAGAGCTCTGGCAGAGAAGCAATCTGCAATCGATGCTCAGGGCAACGCAGTGCGCGCCCTCAAAGCTTCTAAAGCGGATAAGTCTGAACTCCAAGGTGCAATCGATGCCCTCAACGCCTTGAAGCTTGGCAAGTCCTCGCTCGAGAAGAAGCTGCAAGCCGCCGTTACCGGCGGCGGGCCTGCCGAGGGCGCCCTAACCAGGGAGGCCTTCCGTCAGGCCGTCGGTAACACCCTCGAGCGACGTCTGTTCTACATACCCTCTTTCAAGATTTACGGAGGCGTCGCTGGGCTCTATGATTATGGCCCTCCTGGTTGTGCTGTTAAGTCCAATGTTCTCTCTTTTTGGCGGCAGGTAATTCCAATTCAATCACGGTCCTGTTAAATTGAACCCTAATGCACTTCTTGGTGGGTGGTTCTTCCACTAATTCTTAATTAGAAGATAAATTCCGAACGAACTGTAGCTGGAGATGTCAGCTTTTGTTGGGTTTTTTTTTCCTGCTAGTGGAAAGAATTATGAGAAAACCTGCTGCTACAACTTGATGATGATGACTCACCCTTTAAAGTGTGGTTTCTTCAGCATTTTGTGTTGGAGGAGAACATGTTGGAAGTGGACTGCCCGTGTGTGACGCCCGAGGATGTTCTGAAAGCATCTGGTCATGTGGATAAATTCACAGATCTCATGGTTAAGGATGAGAAAACCGGAGATTGCCATAGAGCTGACCACTTGCTGAAGGACTTTTGCAATGAGAAGCTTCAGAAAGATCTTACTATAACTGCTGAGAAGTCCCAGGAACTGAAGCATGTACTTGCAATGTTGGATGATTTCTCTTCTGAAGAACTCGGTGCCAAGATTAAGGAATACGGCATTACAGCTCCTGACACTAAGAATCCACTCTCTGATCCCTACCCATTCAACTTGATGTTTCAAACTTCCATTGGGCCATCAGGGTTGATTCCTGGGTGAGGATATTTTCTTTTCTTGCAGAATCTGTTTATTCCATTACTTGAGTTCTGGCAGTTGCAAAATAGTAAAATGATAGGCGCCAATCTTTAATGCAGAGACTGAATTGTGCTTTTGTTCATTTCTCTTGCAGCTATATGCGGCCCGAAACAGCACAAGGTATATTTGTAAATTTCAAAGATCTGTATTACTATAATGGCAACAAATTGCCGTTTGCTGCTGCTCAAATTGGTCAGGCATTCAGAAATGAGGTTAAGCTCCTTCCTTCTGATGCAAAAGTTCTCTGCTGATATATTGTTCTTCATTTGCAAAGGATCAGTTATAGTGTAGAAACAAAATATGCTCTTTTTATTTCTAGTTACGCCTTCATATTTCACGGTCTATTAACAAAAGAAATTTAAGCAGCTCATGGCCGAGAGCTTACTTCTTGAGGTGGGGTGGGGCCCCAATGGTATTCGACGGGATATGTTTCACTGTGGCACATGTTAGCGTGATGGGCTCACAGTAAGCAGCTGAGCTGAAAGGCTTTGTGCTCACGGCCCCATGGTCGCTTTCCCACCCTCATCTTTGTGGCTTGACCTAGTGGATTGCCCCCACATCTTATCTTTCTGGTCCTCAATCTTATTAGAAGGAGCAAAATTAGGAAAATTGTTCTCCAAGTGTCTTGTGTCTGTTTCCAGTGTTTTAACTGGTGCAAAGCATTTCGTTAGAATTATCTTTTGGTCTTAATTGTATTTGCCGATCCTAAATGCACAGATTTCTCCTCGGCAAGGTCTGTTGAGAGTTCGTGAGTTTACATTGGCTGAAATTGAGCACTTTGTTGATCCTGAAGACAAGTCTCATCCTAAATATCTGGAAGTTGAGAATCTAGAATTCTTGATGTTCCCGAGGGAAGAACAGATGTCTGGACAATCTGCAAAGATAATCCGACTTGGTGATGCTGTTTCAAAGGTTTGGTTTTCTGTTGTCATTTGATTTAGATCCTGTTCTTGCCTTTTGCAGTTCACTGTTGGTCACATCTTTTTATCCCTTCCATTTCGTTCAGGGCATTGTCAATAATGAAACTCTTGGATATTTCATTGGTCGAGTGTATCTCTTCCTAACTCGACTTGGCATAGACAAGGAACGCTTACGATTTCGGCAGCATCTGGCAAATGAAATGGCACATTATGCTGCAGACTGTTGGGATGCAGAGATTGAGTGCTCTTATGGTTGGATTGAGTGTGTTGGTATTGCGGATAGGTCTGCATATGACTTGCGTGCTCATACGGTGAGGATTTATTTTCTTTCTGTTATCAGGTATAAGAATCGGGAAGAAAGCATCTAATCTTAAGTTTTGGTATTTGTTCTGGTATATACCAGAGTATAGATAATTTCAACATGAGAATTTGGGATGTGAATCAATGTTGTTTCTGCTTTGTGCTATTCTCTTACTTGGATACTGCTGCATCCTATTGCTGTTATTCCTTGAGCTTCTTGGCTCTGAAAAATATTCTGGTCAACTCATAGATACGAAGGGTAGATCCTCATACATGATTTTCTTTCTTGTGACAGGAAAAAAGTAAGGTTGCACTTGTTGCCTCTGAGAAATTTGCCGAACCTAAGGAAGTTGAGGTAGTTTTTGCTTACTTTTTGTGGTTAGTGATTGCTGTTATTCCTTGTTATTTTGGCTTTCTATATGTCTCTGCAAGTGTTGCTTGTGATTGATAATCTCTCACCATATGCTGCCAGAAACTAGTGATTACACCTGTGAAGAAGGAGCTTGGCCTTGCATTTAAGAAACGTCAGAAGAATATTGTTGAAGCTTTAGAGGTGAGATTTGGGGTTTTTTTTTTCTTGCAGATGTTTATTGAAATGAGTTTAAGACATTGCAGAATAACATAAGGTATATCTTTTCCATTTTCTGGTGACAGGCAATGAATGAAAAAGAGGCTATGGAGATGAAGTCCTCTCTAGAGAGCAAAGGTGAGGTAGAATTTTTTGTCTGCACTCTCGACAAATATGAGACTATCAAGAAAAACATGGTCTCAATTTCGAAGGAGAAGCGGAAGGAGCATCAAAGAGTTTTCACACCATCGGTCATCGAGCCGTCGTTCGGCATTGGAAGGATCATATATTGCCTTTTCGAACACTGCTTCTATACTAGGCCTAGTAAAGCTGGGGATGAGCAGTTGAATGTCTTCAGGTTTCCACCTCTGGTGGCACCAATAAAATGCACCGTCTTCCCACTGGTTCAGAATCAGAAGTACGAGGTGGTTGCTACAGCCATTTCTAGGTCGTTGACTGCTGCTGGAATCTCTCACAAGATTGATGTTACAGGTTTGTGGACAAGTATTCTGTTGCATGCCACCAATAAATGGCACTGTCTTCCAACATTGCTCGTCTTAGGGCATTGCAGAACTGATGCATTGTATGTTTACCACACCATATTAACCGTGGTGACTTCTTTTACAGGGACCTCAATTGGGAAACGATATGCCAGAACCGATGAATTGGGTGTACCCTTTGCAATTACTGTGGATTCAACAACTTCAGTTACAGTCCGAGAAAGAGACAGCAAAGATCAAATCCGAGTAAACGTCGAAGAGTTGGCAGCAGTGATGCGATCGGTAACCGAGGGACAAACTACATGGGCTGATGTTTGGTCTCGTTTTCCCCATCACTCCGCTGGATCGACCAATGAGTCCGAGGATTGAGTCATCACAGTCACAGGGTACAACACTAATTTGTTCGGGCATACAGCTCGAGTCTTAAAATCTTAATTCCTGTTTCTCTCCATACTGTTTTTTGCACTTGTTGCCATGATGGATTAGACGCTGCCTAGTTTTGGACTATGCTATTTTAGAACTATTGAGGGTTTTGGACTATGATATTTTAGAACTTCTGTGAGCCAAGGTTCTTGTTTCCAGCTGTTAAATGTAGAGGGATACACCAGCCTTCAGACGTCCACCGAGTTGTGAGCCAAGGTTCTTGTTGTAACCGATCAGGTAAAAGGCAACGTTGATATCAGATTGGTAGATATTCCAGTGGCATTTGTGGGAACACCGGCGACTTTCTCAGCGCAACGACACTCTAGTGATGCGTGTTTTTCGAAGGTGGGACCTCCTAAGCCTACCAAATTCAAATTCATGAGTTTATTCAGCAAAAAAATTCAGGGCAAAATCGACTGGATTTTAAAAATTCAAACCCAACAGGTATTCGTTGGTTCATGTACAAAGATGCAATTACATTAGTTTTCACTACTATTGTCTACCACATACACACTAACTCACAAATTATTCATACTAATGGTTCCATATTAAAGATAAACATCGACAAACAATATGATTGATTGAACGTGTGAGGAATTAGTTTAGAAATTATAGTTAATTTGTTAAGAGTTCCGTGGGTCGTGTGGGTATGGACTTGGATGTGGGTATCCGCGGATTGCATATGATTAACCAAACTCACCTTGCAAAAGACATATCGGGTTTAAACCCGAACCCGGCTCACAACACGTCAAAGCGAGTTTTATCCGCATTGACCGGGATGAGTTAGTTAGGGTACCCATAGATTCAGGTTCTACTACCATCCCTAGCTACAACATGCATCCGTCGCCCCGAAGACAGGGGAAAGTAGGAAATGAAGCCAAAGACTAGGAAACACTCCCATGAATATAAAAACAATAGAGCCTCACTTAGCAAGCCTGCGGGTGAGGTTGGCCGCGTTATGAATGGAAGCACCACGCACTCGGGAGCAAGGAAGATGTGGAGTTATTGTTGTGACTTTTTCGGGACGAGGGTACACGTACGATAGCTCGAGACCAGGTGATCAGGATTGTGATAGAGTCGTGAACAATGTTCACTTTCCGAAAAGAATATTTCCACTCTCTACAAAGCCTTGGGTTACAGGAAATTTCTCCCGAGGATAAAACTATCACCACAAGGTTCTAGGCTCAAGAACACTTAAGCATACTTAGAAATTTTTGGAAGAAAGAAGAAGAATATGTTTGATGGTATGTGGCATCATGCACCCCACACACATATTTATAGGGGCCGAATCCATGCATTGTTTCATGAAAGGTTGCATTTATCCATATGAAAGGTTGCCCTTATCCATATGAAGGGTTGCCTTTATCCATAAGGTTATCCTTATCCATAAAATAATGCAACCACCATTAGGCCAAAGGGATGTGTCCCTTCATGGAATTAGAATATCGGTTCGGTCGGTCCAATTCCAAACCGGATGGTCGGTCCAACCCAACACCAGTTTGACTTGGTTAGTCCGGTTCAACCAAATTTCCAACATTACTACCCCCATTTTAGTGTATTCATAGAATTCACAAAAATCACAACATTCTTCCAACAAAACTTAAGCATTAATGAAAATGTCGTGACGATTGAATTTTCACCATAGTATATTACACTTGACGAATACTCGAATACAATGGGTGTCGGTAACGATTGAACCCATTGACTCATATGAATATTCGAAGATAATATGCACTTAAGTCTTCAAAACTTCTAAGCGCCTTGACACTATTATCCGCCATGTGTCCAATCCTTCTCATAAGCGCACACGAAACCAAAGTCTAAGTTTCTTGAAGCGACTACACTTCATACTTACGTAGGTCGAATCTTTTATTCGTGTACCCGCATGATACACTTTGTCAAAGATTTAATTAAGTAGTTTTGAACTTCATCCTCTTCTCTCATGCAGGATAACAAGCACATACATTGGGATGACAAATTTTGTGCTTCAATTTATGATAATAAGCTTTCCATATTGAATTCAGCCTCTAACGTTGTATTAGAGGGGAATTGGGTGTCCCATTACCAGAAACTATATGGACTTTTAACCCATCCCATTCACAGACTTTATCACCAAGTCACTAGTTAACCATTTCGTCAAATGATTAACCAAATTATATCGAGTCTGGTCATATTGTCTAGACACAACTCTATGAATGATCAGTTCATAGATTTTACCGTGCCTTACTCCCACATTACCGTTCTTGTCATTTTCACTTGACTATATGCCTTAGCCAAATTAGCATTACTATCACAAAAAATAGCAACAAGTGAGGTTAGTTTAAGCCAAACCTCTCAACAATTATGTCTCCTCTCTAAGAGAAACCAAGACCACACAAACTTTGATTCCATAGTGAAACTTAGTGATGCAAGTTTACTTTCTAGAGGCCAAAAATATGGCACCTCTCCCAAGCAATAGGACTCATCTCAATGTTGAAGTATCACCTTTAACATGAGAAATCCAACTAACATCAACAAATCCTTCCAAAATGGATGGAAAGCCACTATAACTCAATACAATGTGCATTTGACATGTCCTAGTACACACCTAATTTCATTTCAAATTATGAGAACTAGGATTCATCATGTACCAACTTAATTGTTCTATCGCATATGCGATATTTAGCATCATGTAAGTCATGCATACATCGAGCCCCCAATTTAACATGAAATACTAGGGGTGGCTATACGGTCCGGTCCGGTTAAATTGGCCCAAATTGATCCGGTCCAGTCCAGTCTTTTTGAAAATATAAGGACCGAAGATTGGATTGGATACAGTCCGGTCTTGATCCGGTCCGGTCCCAATTCGGTCTTGATTTTACATTGAGATTGTGGGATTTGAGTGGCCTAAGGCCTTAAAGGGTGAGGAGTTGGTTAAGTTTTGTACTAAGTGCAAAGGTTTGTGACCGTTTATGCAAATTACCCTTAAGTTTTGGGTGTTGAGCTCTCTTATCCGGTTTTTTACCTCAAATCTAAGCCCAAAGATTGGATTGGATTGTTTACTATCCGGTCTCGGTCCGGGTTATACGGTCCGATTTCCGTTTTTTAAACCGGTCCCGGTCCAAATAGCCACCCCTATGAAATACTCCAGTTGTAAAACTGATTTCCAGTATTAACCATAAGTTCCATACTTGGATCCATTGGTTTTTTTTAACTCACTACAATTCCTACTATGGAATTTATGCAAGTACCTTCTCATGTAGAAAAATTGAGAGAATGACTCTTTCTTGTCGTTCTGCTTGATTCAATACACAGAATGATACGATCCTGGAATTGATCAAATTTCATCCAGGATTAATCGTTAAAGAGGCCAAGTCGAATTGCAAAGAAGAAGCTGAAAATTGTCAAAGTCACTTTCCGTGTTCAAGCAGTCGACTTTGGAGGCACGTTTCTCTTAATTGACTCAATGGAAATTCAAGTTTAATGGCTTGTGTTGAACATGGAATGATTTTCTACATATTGGTATGCTTGGTTGCTCAAGAAGAAGTAATTAAGGTTGTTTTCCAAGGCCTCAAAGTTGCTACCTCAAAACTGGAAAACTGCCAGAAAATGGCTAAGGCAGAAAACTGTATTGAGATACCAACTTTGATGGACTATATCTGGAGTTTGGAGCATGATCTCAGGCTGATTCAAGTTGGAGATGAAATAGGAAGTTTTCTTCTACAAAGGAAAGAGATTGGTTGAGTTCGAATCAACCTACAAGATCATTTTCGAAAGGCTCAGAGATGCTATAAAGCCTGTTTTCCTAGGCAGACTTGCTTGTGTTTTAAGTCAGTTTCTTGGCTTGCAAGTTATCTTGTTTTACACGAATTCTTTAGTCTTTTCTTGTTCTAATTAGTTTTCTTGTTAGTTTAGAATTGTATTAGGTTTTCTTTGGCTATAAAAGCCCTCTAGTTTTCGTTGTAATAGTTAGAGAATTGTTTAATAAAAATTACTCCGAGGAGTTTATCATTGAGCTTGCGAGCTTGATTTTTGGTCTTGGATTCGTCCTAGGCTTGCAGACTTCTCTTTCAAGTCATTCATACTTGTTTGAGTAGTGATTCTACCTTTCGAAACCGATTGAGCTTGTCCCCAAGTGAGGATTTGTACTTTCGTTTCAAACCCATCCCAAATCGTACTAAGCACATCATGTTCTTTTGGTTTTCTATTCAATTCAATCCTTTGAGTTGAATTAGCTGCGTGACTTTGATCAAAACACCCCTCCTGGGGCGTATTACAGAATCACATTTGCCTCCCCACGTCCCACATGGAGAATTTAAATAACAACTTTTTATCAAAAGTTCACTTATCTTTTATTGGTCCCAAAGATAAGCATGTCATATACATACAAATGTACGATGAATCCATTACCAGAATCATCATAAATTTTATATATATTTTGTCTCCTTGGTTTAAATAACATAAACCCCTAGACAAAATCACACCACTAGACAAATCCAAATTTTCCTTGAACTTCAAAAACGTCAAATAGAGAATTAGACAAATTAACCATTTAGTACGTGACCTACATAAAGGCAATTGTCATTCTTCTATTTCTCCATTTTACGAAGCCTTCTCCTTCTTCCTCATCTTCGAATCATCCCTCTTCCAAGTTACCTTCCGAATATGGAATACACCATGAGACTTGTATGAAGAAAACCCATCTTCTACTATTATCGATGAAAACCTCATCATCGAACATTCTCATAATTCCATAGAACGGAACCGGTTTCTTGAAAATATCGGTTTGAGCCATCATACCGGAAAATATTCTTTTCGATTGTTGGGACTTTTTAGGACGAGGGTACACGTACGATAGCCCGAGACCAGGTGACCAGGATTGTGATAGAGTCGTGAACAACGTTCACTTTCTGAAAAGAATATATCCACCCTCTACAAAGCCTTGGGTTACAGGAAATTTCTCCCGAGGATAAAACTATCACCACTTTAGGTTCTAGGCTCAAGAACACTAAAGCATACTTAGAAATTTTTGGAAGAAAGAAGAAGAATATGTTTGATGGTATGTGGCATCATGCACCCAACACACATATTTATAGGGGCCGAATCCATGCATTGTTTCATGAAAGGTTGCATTTATCCATATGAAAGGTTGCCCTTATCCATATGAAGGGTTGCCTTTATCCATAAGGTTATCCTTATCCATAAAATAATGCAACCACCATTAGGCCAAAGGGATGTGTCCCTTCATGGAATTAGAATATCGGTTCGGTCGGTCCAATTCCAAACCGGATGGTCGGTCCAACCCAACACCAGTTTGACTTGGTTAGTCCGGTTCAACCAAATTTCCAACATTACTACCCCCATTTTAGTGTATTCATAGAATTCACAAAAATCACAACATTCTTCCAACAAAACTTAAGCATTAATGAAAATGTCGTGACGATTGAATTTTCACCATAGTATATTACACTTGACGAATACTCGAATACAATGGGTGTCGGTAACGATTGAACCCATTGACTCATATGAATATTCGAAGATAATATGCACTTAAGTCTTCAAAACTTCTAAGCGCCTTGACACTATTATCCGCCATGTGTCCAATCCTTCTCATAAGCGCACACGAAACCAAAGTCTAAGTTTCTTGAAGCGACTACACTTCATACTTACGTAGGTCGAATCTTTTATTCGTGTACCCGCATGATACACTTTGTCAAAGATTTAATTAAGTAGTTTTGAACTTCATCCTCTTCTCTCATGCAGGATAACAAGCACATACATTGGGATGACAAATTTTGTGCTTCAATTTATGATAATAAGCTTTCCATATTGAATTCAGCCTCTAACGTTGTATTAGAGGGGAATTGGGTGTCCCATTACCAGAAACTATATGGACTTTTAACCCATCCCATTCACAGACTTTATCACCAAGTCACTAGTTAACCATTTCGTCAAATGATTAACCAAATTATATCGAGTCTGGTCATATTGTCTAGACACAACTCTATGAATGATCAGTTCATAGATTTTACCGTGCCTTACTCCCACATTACCGTTCTTGTCATTTTCACTTGACTATATGCCTTAGCCAAATTAGCATTACTATCACAAAAAATAGCAACAAGTGAGGTTAGTTTAAGCCAAACCTCTCAACAATTATGTCTCCTCTCTAAGAGAAACCAAGACCACACAAACTTTGATTCCATAGTGAAACTTAGTGATGCAAGTTTACTTTCTAGAGGCCAAAAATATGGCACCTCTCCCAAGCAATAGGACTCATCTCAATGTTGAAGTATCACCTTTAACATGAGAAATCCAACTAACATCAACAAATCCTTCCAAAATGGATGGAAAGCCACTATAACTCAATACAATGTGCATTTGACATGTCCTAGTACACACCTAATTTCATTTCAAATTATGAGAACTAGGATTCATCATGTACCAACTTAATTGTTCTATCGCATATGCGATATTTAGCATCATGTAAGTCATGCATACATCGAGCCCCCAATTTAACATGAAATACTAGGGGTGGCTATACGGTCCGGTCCGGTTAAATTGGCTCAAATTGATCCGGTCCAGTCCAGTCTTTTTGAAAATATAAGGACCGAAGATTGGATTGGATACAGTCCGGTCTTGATCCGGTCCGGTCCCAATTCGGTCTTGATTTTACATTGAGATTGTGGGATTTGAGTGGCCTAAGGCCTTAAAGGGTGAGGAGTTGGTTAAGTTTTGTACTAAGTGCAAAGGTTTGTGACCGTTTATGCAAATTACCCTTAAGTTTTGGGTGTTGAGCTCTCTTATCCGGTTTTTTACCTCAAATCTAAGCCCAAAGATTGGATTGGATTGTTTACTATCCGGTCTCGGTCCGGGTTATACGGTCCGATTTCCGTTTTTTAAACCGGTCCCGGTCCAAATAGCCACCCCTATGAAATACTCCAGTTGTAAAACTGATTTCCAGTATTAACCATAAGTTCCATACTTGGATCCATTGGTTTTTTTTAACTCACTACAATTCCTACTATGGAATTTATGCAAGTACCTTCTCATGTAGAAAAATTGAGAGAATGACTCTTTCTTGTCGTTCTGCTTGATTCAATACACAGAATGATACGATCCTGGAATTGATCAAATTTCATCCAGGATTAATCGTTAAAGAGGCCAAGTCGAATTGCAAAGAAGAAGCTGAAAATTGTCAAAGTCACTTTCCGTGTTCAAGCAGTCGACTTTGGAGGCACGTTTCTCTTAATTGACTCAATGGAAATTCAAGTTTAATGGCTTGTGTTGAACATGGAATGATTTTCTACATATTGGTATGCTTGGTTGCTCAAGAAGAAGTAATTAAGGTTGTTTTCCAAGGCCTCAAAGTTGCTACCTCAAAACTGGAAAACTGCCAGAAAATGGCTAAGGCAGAAAACTGTATTGAGATACCAACTTTGATGGACTATATCTGGAGTTTGGAGCATGATCTCAGGCTGATTCAAGTTGGAGATGAAATAGGAAGTTTTCTTCTACAAAGGAAAGAGATTGGTTGAGTTCGAATCAACCTACAAGATCATTTTCGAAAGGCTCAGAGATGCTATAAAGCCTGTTTTCCTAGGCAGACTTGCTTGTGTTTTAAGTCAGTTTCTTGGCTTGCAAGTTATCTTGTTTTACACGAATTCTTTAGTCTTTTCTTGTTCTAATTAGTTTTCTTGTTAGTTTAGAATTGTATTAGGTTTTCTTTGGCTATAAAAGCCCTCTAGTTTTCGTTGTAATAGTTAGAGAATTGTTTAATAAAAATTACTCCGAGGAGTTTATCATTGAGCTTGCGAGCTTGATTTTTGGTCTTGGATTCGTCCTAGGCTTGCAGACTTCTCTTTCAAGTCATTCATACTTGTTTGAGTAGTGATTCTACCTTTCGAAACCGATTGAGCTTGTCCCCAAGTGAGGATTTGTACTTTCGTTTCAAACCCATCCCAAATCGTACTAAGCACATCATGTTCTTTTGGTTTTCTATTCAATTCAATCCTTTGAGTTGAATTAGCTGCGTGACTTTGATCAAAACACCCCTCCTGGGGCGTATTACAGAATCACATTTGCCTCCCCACGTCCCACATGGAGAATTTAAATAACAACTTTTTATCAAAAGTTCACTTATCTTTTATTGGTCCCAAAGATAAGCATGTCATATACATACAAATGTACGATGAATCCATTACCAGAATCATCATAAATTTTATATATATTTTGTCTCCTTGGTTTAAATAACATAAACCCCTAGACAAAATCACACCACTAGACAAATCCAAATTTTCCTTGAACTTCAAAAACGTCAAATAGAGAATTAGACAAATTAACCATTTAGTACGTGACCTACATAAAGGCAATTGTCATTCTTCTATTTCTCCATTTTACGAAGCCTTCTCCTTCTTCCTCATCTTCGAATCATCCCTCTTCCAAGTTACCTTCCGAATATGGAATACACCATGAGACTTGTATGAAGAAAACCCATCTTCTACTATTATCGATGAAAACCTCATCATCGAACATTCTCATAATTCCATAGAACGGAACCGGTTTCTTGAAAATATCGGTTTGAGCCATCATACCGGAAAATATTCTTTTCGATTGTTGGGACTTTTTAGGACGAGGGTACACGTACGATAGCCCGAGACCAGGTGACCAGGATTGTGATAGAGTCGTGAACAACGTTCACTTTCTGAAAAGAATATATCCACCCTCTACAAAGCCTTGGGTTACAGGAAATTTCTCCCGAGGATAAAACTATCACCACTTTAGGTTCTAGGCTCAAGAACACTAAAGCATACTTAGAAATTTTTGGAAGAAAGAAGAAGAATATGTTTGATGGTATGTGGCATCATGCACCCAACACACATATTTATAGGGGCCGAATCCATGCATTGTTTCATGAAAGGTTGCCTTTATCCATACGAAAGGTTGCCCTTATCCATATGAAGGGTTGCCTTTATCCATAAGGTTATCCTTATCCATAAAATAGTGCAACCGCCATTAGGCCAAAGGGATGTGTCCCTTCATGGAATTAGAATATCGATTCGGTCGGTCTAATCCCAAATCTGTTGGTCGGTCCAACCCAAAACCGATTTGACTTTGTTAGTCCGGTTCAACCAAATTTCCAACAGTTATTGGAGACTTTCGTCACCAGGATGAAGTTACGACTCTTGTGTAACTTCTTTAGTCGCATGCTAAGCGAGGAAAGTGTTATTCTTCTATATGTATTTTTTTTTGTGGCAAGTGTTTTATCTTGGAACTGCCCAAGGGGTAGGAGATGATGCCTTTCCAGTTATCGTTATTCCTTTTATGAACCGCTTAGGCCAGACTGTTACGAGACGAGCTATCGTAATAATTCAGGGATTTTCTGAGCTTATCTATTTTAGTAATTTATTAATGGTCAAGTATTTAGTTATTATTTAGGGATATTATTATTGTTTTCTAGTCTTAGTAGGGTTTGGATTGTCTTTTGGTGTTTGTTTAGGATTTGGTTGTGGTGTCCTTGTTGTAGGAGAAGGTTACATATTATGGGTAGGAATAGGGAAGAGTGGACCGAAACCATCAAGAAGAAGGAGAGAATTTTGTGCCTATAAATATGTAATGTCTCATTCGTTTAATGGTATGAAAAAGATTGGAACCCAAATCTAGTTTATTGTCTTTCGTTTCTCGCAATTTATCGCGTTTTATTATAGTTCGTTAGTTTTCTCGCAAGAAAGTTACGAGACAATGATTCTTCAATTTTGTGTCTCGTAACACAGACTTAGTTTTCATAGATGAACCCCCCATTAGTGGGGATGTTTCACGTAGAAATTGACCGCACTGGTTTCGAAGGCCTACTGGATATGGATGCTATTGGTTTTGCAGGAGGTATTTGGGTGTTGAGGTGAAACCAGAACCTTTTACCCAACTCTTAGCCTCACCACAACTAATCCACATGACATGCAGAGGTTTCTAGTCTATTTTAGACGATTTGTGGTTTGCTTTCTAACTTTCCTCCCCTGCTTTTATATGAATCCTCCCTTTCCAACTCTTCCCTTCCACACTACCCTCTACCCTCTTTCTCTAAAGTCAAAACAACCTCGCCAAGTTCCAGAATTCTTCAACAGCAATGTCTCTGCCTCGTCATGCTTACTCGCGGCACCACCAATTTGGACTTCTCTTCTTACCACCGCCCCCGCTCCGCCTCCCCTATTGCCCTGCCGGAGATCACTACTGCAGAGGAGAAGCTGCTGCTGAGCCACAAGTGTGCCGTCTGTGGGAAGGCCTTCTCATCCTACAAGCTCTCGGCGACCACAAGGCCAGTCACCGGAAATCGATCTCTGGTGCAAAGATCGAGGTCGCCGCCCAATCGACTTCTAGTACTACTACTACTAGCACCGTTGCGGCCGCCACAACATCAGGGAGCGGGACTCCATCTATCTCTTCTCGCCACCGCCTCGATCATTAATGAATGATGATGCAAAATGCTATTAATACAAAGATCTCCAGACAACCAAAATCTGCAGGAACAAGGGAAGGAGGGTGGGGCATCGTGCAACAGCACAACTTTTGTGGTTTTGGCTTGCGGGGAGTTCAGGTCAGAAAGCTCCATCCCTGGTGAGTTGGGAGCAATAAAATCAAATTAGACCACTAGAAATTAAAATCAAACCAAATCACAATCTGCCGCTTCCCACTCTCCCCGCCTTCTTCGTTATTCCGCCACCGTCACTTCCTTCTGCCGCTACCGTCGCGAACTCCATCTATCTCTTCTCTTTGTGGCCGTTGCTGCTGTCGCTGGTTGTCGGGAAGCTCTGGACGAAGAAAGAATGGCGGAATCATTTCGGTCGCTGCAAGGAGATCCAACCCTGTGTACTTGATATTCGCCGGCGCCGGAGTAGGATTTCTCTGCCGGAGGAGAGTTGGAATCGGAGGAGAAGGCTAGCAATGGAGAAGGAGAACAGAGCGGAGGCGAATTGGAATTTGGGGATCTCATTAATTGTTATTTTTTTTATTTTTATTTTTATTGTAAGTTTCCAGTTTTGCCCTTAATGAATTGAATAATATTGTTACTATAACAACAGATAAAGTGTTGTTAGGCTTAGGATAGGGTCATTAACCATTGGTTACTGACTTATGAGTAACTAAATCTTGACTTTTAAATCTAATGGGTCCGATAAATTCAGATATAAGAGGGTTGTCAATTAAAAGACATTTTATTTTCCTGAATTTTCTTAATTGGCTCTTATCTTCTTCGTTCTAACTCGGATTTCAATTTTTTTTTTACACTGATGGAACGAGTTCGTTGTGATCTACAAAATGAAATCAATTTTCAATATATTTCGAGAAACTTTTTTTACCAACTACATACCATATGGTAACTTCTTCCTTTTGAAGTCGTTTATAAAATGTTTGCTCAGAAGGAACGAGTTCATCATGATCTATTGGATTTATAAATTTCCGGGTGAAGAAAATACTGGATCAAAAAGTACCACACAATACCATACAATACCACCCTGGTACGGGGTGGTATCTTATGGTACACAATGTTAAAGTCGTAAATGACAGTTAATATATTTCTATTATCATGTATTCAACCATCCTACAGTCTTGATTTGTTCATACCACCATGGTACGCTTTTCAAACCATATGTATGCCCTTATTTCAATACCTGTCAATACCATATGGTATAGACTGGTAAAAAATGGCTCAATTTTTTTTGTTTGAAAAATATATCAAAGTGAATATCATTTTGAAGAGCACAATTAATATGATCTAACTGTGTAAAAAAAAATTAAATTTTGACTTAAAACGAGTGAGAAATCGTTCGTCAAAAATTTATGAGTGGAAAATTAAAAGCTTTCCAGGAGAGTGGGATACTGATGTCATGCTGATGTGAACGGATTACTCATAGTTAATCACCGTGAGGTTACTGACCTGATTCATTTCCGTTACTAGGGACAGGTTACGGTGATTACTACTTAGTTAATCATAGTTAATCACCGTTGTTACTAAGGGTAAATTGGGTATGACATATAAATTGTATTAATTAATTTTTTTAGTAAATTACATTTTAGGTAGTTACAAGAATCTCTTAATTACAATTCTCCATCTTTCTCTCACTTCCATAATCTTCAGCCAGATCCCTTTTCCTTAATTTTCTCAATCTTTCTGCAAAAGAAAAAAAAACACGAAATCACTACCAATCCATTAGATAATCACTACCACTTTGAAAAATATCAATACCATTGCAGAAATAAATCTATACCATTACACGAAAACTACCAATATAAACAATCTACCAATATAAATCTATACCATTTCACAAAAAATCAATACCGTTGCAGATTGAATCCATACCAATACATGCAAATTAATACCATTACATGATAATCAATACCAATGCGACAAAAACAATATCAATGCAAAAAAACACTACCACTACGAAAAAATCACTACCAATGCGGGAAAAAATCTGATCTAGGGTTTTTATTCATCCCACCTTTTCCAGCGCACAACCTAAAAACTCAACTACCGGTCTCACAGAACAACAAGATCGAACCTAACAGTCACCAAAGGGAGGAAGAAAAAAAATCAGAAAGCAGAGAAATCCAACCTGAGGATCCTGGACGTCGTGGTAGAAAGGCGAAGCGGTGTGGAAGACGCCGTCGCAGCCCTGGACGCCGGAAAGGGGTCGACCACGTCCTGGACTGGAAACTCGACTCCTATTTCAAGGAGGAGATATGGAGAGTTCTCAACATTGGGATCCTCTGCACGAGCCATCTACCCATCAACCGGCCCTCGATGAGGAGGATCGTGAAGCAGCTGCAGGCGATCGGGGGAGAAGCTCAGCCGAAGACCGCGGGGAAGAAAGATGGCAAGCTGACGCCGTACTACTACGAGGATGCCTCGGATCAAGGGAGTGTAGCATGATTTTGGGAAGAGATGATTTTGAGAATCTGGTCGGCGGAGTGACGGTGACGGGAGTGGGAGAAGGGAGAGACGGCGGCTAGGTAAATAGGTTGTATTAGGGTTTGAGTATAATAAATACAGTAATCAGGTGTGGTATGTTTTTCATTTCCTAAATTACCCTTAGCTAATCTTAATTGTTAATTTAAAAATATAATAAAATAAAGATAATGAATGGTATAGATGTTGGTAGCCACCGTAATTACTCAAAATTGAGTAACTACCCTAACCTATTCCCGGAAAAAATCCCAAAGTACACTAGTTCTTAAAAAAAATTCCCAAAATACATAAGTTATAAAAAAAATTCCAAAAGTACACATGTTTGAGCATCACCGTTTTAGACAAAAGCGGTGAAGGTCATCACCGCTTTTGACCAAAACGGTGAATACTTCACCGTTTTAAACTAAAACGGTGATGTATTCACCGTTTCAAACTAAAACGGTGAAGGGTTCACCGCGTTTGTTAAGAACGGTGAATACCTCACCGTTTTAAACAAAAACGGTGAAGCCTTCACCGTTTTAGACTTCCACGGTGAAGGCGCTGACGTGGACTAACGCGGGGTATTCACCGCGTTAGACAAACACGGTGAATACCCGTGTTTGTTTGCGTCAGCGATCCGCGTCACTGGCGCCATACCCACCTCCAAATTGGCCGTCGGATTGTACACTGGCATAGGGACAAAGTCGGGGGGATCATTCTGACTATGTAAAAATTGAGTTGGAACCTGTGTGTAATATGGCGTGGGTGCCTCACGAAATGCCGCCTCATCCTCGTTATCATCAGTATCTTCCTCCTCCTCGCTCACTGATATCAAATCTTCCTCAGTATCCTCGTCGCTCGACTCGAATGGATAGCTCGGGCTAGAAGGATCAACATGACCACGATCACCAACATCGTCCTCTCGCTCATGTGAAGTACGCCCTGATCGAATGGTATTCTCGATTCCATACCACTCTGGCCCCCAAGCAGGCCATTGAACACCATCGGCCTCAACAAATGGGGCTGGTTTAGGAGGTTGCGAGTATTTGTCCCATCCTGCACTACTCGATCCACCGTAGTTGATTGAACCACCACCCTCCCCGTAACCTCCTGTATAACCACCGCCTTGGTAGTTGCTCGAACTACCACCCCATTCGTACCCTCCTGCAAAACCATCATCATAAGAATACTGGTGAGAATGAGATTCACCGACCGCCTCGTCTCAACATACACCTCTGCAAGCCGGACTTGGTTATCGCTTAGGAACTGTAACATCATCATAACCGCGTCATCATCGTTTATGACAACTTCTTGGAACACGACCCCGCCAGCACTCATGTCTGGATACCGGTAAGTAATTTTGCCAAGTCTCGTCTGTCCGCTCGTACAAACCCTTTCTGCACAAAGATCACAGAGTTCTTGAAAATTGAATCGGGAATCAATTTTCAGCATAATGGATTCGCCGTCCTCATAATCAATGCCTATGTCAGAGTTTGTCACCCTTCCATTCCACCGAATAGTAAGATGAAACTTCTTGAATTTACCCATATCTACAATTTACAATAAGTATCTATTAGCTTAAAGACAGTAAAATTAACCAAAATCATATTGTACAACTAATATTAAATCATACCATAACTAACGAAAATAAATTCAACTAACTAACAACAACATAATACGAAAATTAAATCATACTATAACTAACGAACATAAGTTCAACTAACTAACAACAACATAATACGAAAATTAAATCATACTATAACTACTAAAAACATAATTAGACTATAATACGAAAAGTCTCAACATACCGAAAAATTTCTGTTCTGTGTATTATGCTCGATTTTGGCTGCTGAAATTTGAAGAAAGGGGAGTGGTTATGTTTTTACAACTGCTGGTGGTGTGCAATTTATAGGAAAATCTGCCTACTATTCACCGTTTTTGTCGAAAACGGTGAACACCATCACCGCGTTTGTCTCAAACGGTGAATAGGTGGTAGCTGCGACCTAATTTCGACCTACCAGGGGTGGGAAATGATCACCGCGTTACTTTACAACGATGAATGGGTTTACCGTTTTTGACCAAAACGGTGATGTGTTCACTGTTGTTAATTAACGCGGTGAAAACTTAACCGTTTTAGTTTGAAACGGTGAATACTTCACCGTTTTTGTTTAAGACGATGAAGTATTCACCGTTTTGGTCAAAAGCGGTGATGACCTTCACCGCTTTTGTCTAAAACGGTGATGCTCAAACATGTGTACTTTGAGAAATTTTTTTATAACTCATGTATTTTGGAAATTTTTTTTAAGAACGTGTGGACAGTGGGATTTTTTCCACCTATTCCCACTATCTAGAGTCCAGACCCATCCCAAGTAAATTATCATGTTATTAAAGCAGAAAAGGGCGACTGGCGGACAGCTGTTCAAACTTCATAGCGAGGATCGCAATCTGATTGGCTGATTCCTACCGGTTCAAACTTCATATTGGTGTCGTTCCTCCATTACAAATTCAAATCCACGTCAATCCTCTTTCTTCTTCTTCTTCTTCTTCTCTCTCTATCGCTATCTGGCCGCTGTCTCCGCTGAATTCTCTCCCTACCTGAATCCTAACCACCGCCATGAGCGAGAATCAGAATCCCCCTCTTCAGCACGGTGATCAATCCCCCATTAAAGCAGCTCCTTCTCCATCTCCTTCAGCAGAATCCAAGGCTCCCGACTACGCCCCTTACCCGAAGCTCGACCCTAAAGACGTCGCGCCCCCTTCCGAGAATTGGGCAGACGTTTCCATGACCGGTGGCTCCGTTGCTGCTGCTGCTCCTCCGCCCCCGCCGTCGGAAGCGTCTCGCTCTGCTCCTCCCGGTCCTACTCCCACCCCCGGCGGCGACGCTGCTACTACCCTGCCGGCCGAGTCCAATCCTTACGTCTCCCCTGCTCCCGCCTCCAAGAGTGGGTTTCTGTTATGCTTTTTCCCCCTTTTCTGGTTGACAATTTTTGTTGAATTGAACGGGATTTTTTGACACGACACGGAATTTTTTTTTGGGTGCTTGGCAGACAAGATGGATGCGGTGAAAGACGTGCTAGGAAAATGGGGGAAGAAGGCGGCTGAGGCAACCAAGATGGCCGAGGATCTTGCTGGCAACGTCTGGCAACACCGTAATACCTTCCTCTGCTCTATTTTTAGTCAATTTTGCGCATTTTTAAACCGAATCTATGAATGGGTTGCGCACCTTCATGAATTGGAGATTATGGAGGATGGACATCCAAGCTAACTATAGATGTATCTTGTAGATTTGATGTTTGCGCAGTATCATCTTCTTGATTGCTAAATGCTAACTACGGCCATGGTGTAAAATTTTGCTTTACTTCCCCTTTGTTTAGTGAAGACGGGCCCTAGCTTTGCCGATGCTGCTGTGGGAAGGATTGCTCAATCCACCAAGGTGCTTGCAGAGGGTGGATACGAGAAGGTTTTCAAACAAACGTTTGAGAGTCTTCCCGATGAGCAACTTACCAAGACGTATGCCTGCTACCTATCCACCTCGGCTGGCCCTGTCATGGGGACATTGTACTTGTCAACCGCGAAGCTTGCATTTTGTAGCGACAACCCTTTGTCGTACCAAGTGGGTGATCAGACTCAATGGAGCTATTATAAGGTACTTTGTCTCCAGAAACCCTCTCACAGCTTCACTTCTGCCTTATAGCCTGTTGGTTGATCTCATGTCGAGCATTAAGTTTAAAATAGGCCGCTCGGGGATTCTGGTGATAGTTCAAAGTTGCAGTGCTTTCTTTGTGGGTTCATGTAACAATAGAAGGATGTCTTTGCCTGCTAAGGAATTCATCCATGCCAGTGTGGGATTTGGAAATCGGTAATTTACTAATTTTTTCTAGAACCCTTAGGCTTCTATTCTCCATAGTTTATTAACACATTGAGGCTTGATTCCAAGCATGGGTACAAGCTGCTCTGAGATAATAACGTAATGACATCATAGCAGCTTCCTTTAAAACTTTATGGGCTGTTTATTATCCGGATAAAGAGTTGCTAAACATATTAAGTCGCTTCACTAATCCATCGTCTCAGAAATTTAAGTTCACAGAACTTGTATTTTATGGGTAAGAATCGTAATGTTTGTGAGAGTACTTGTGTGTTAGAGTCGGAAGGATGCACAAGAGGCTTTCTTCCTTGAAATTTTGAGACGGTGAAACGTTATGGTAAATTGAAAGCTATGAGTTGTTGAACACAGTACATTTAAGGACTTGACGGGTCATTCGCTTTCTAGAACTATGAAGAGCACATATGTGCCCAAAGCAACTGCCATGTTGTCAACCAAATTATTGGATTGCCCTCTTTCCCTCCTCCCTTAGCCTGATTAGCATTTGTTTCTGTAATTGGCTCTCAATTGTAAAATTTCGATACCTTACTATGCGTTGCCTGGTACTTAATGCTTTCGATCATGGCATTCCCACATTACTGGTTCTGTGAATAAAATGTTGCAGGGATGTTCTTTGTGTTGTCTGCTTCATGCTTAATCCTTGATTTCTGCTGGTAGGTTGTTATCCCATTGCATCAACTGAAGGCTGTTAATCCATCGATTAGCAAGATCAACTCATCCGAGAAGTACATCCAGATAATCTCTATCGACAACCACGAGTTTTGGTTGATGGGTTTTGTAAACTACGAGAGTGCAGTGAAAAATCTTCAAGCAGCCGTCCCTCATCCCGTCTAGATCGCCAGACCAGCTAGCAAAAGCTCCACGGGGAGTCAATCAGATGATCATGAAAAAATGTTTCTGTAGAGTGTAGAAGATATATAGGTGAAAAGAACCCCAATGTACATTTTTCTTAAAACATTTATTTGGTTCTCACCGTTTCTTACACCCTTACTGCCTTTACATATTCCTTTGGTTCGAACTCTGGATTGTAAATGATTCTTGTGCTATGTTGCGTAGGGACGTGTTTTCACTTTTAAGGGCACCTTTTTTCGCTTCCCACTTTTGTCTTCGCAGAAGATTGGTCTAGTTTACACGTAAAGCGTATTCGGATTCTGATAGCAAAGGGGTTTAAACATTTTAGGATTAGTACGACAGCCATTACTGGAATCAAATCTCGCGCAAGGTTTGGGTATCTTTTTTTTTTTTTTTTTGCATTGAAGGGAGGCCGAAGCCGCAAAGAGGATTACAGAGAGGAAGAGGGATGCATCACAACACGACGCTGAAAGGAAATGCCCATACAATCTTCCATAAGAATAGGAGCTAACGCCGGCGGTGGATCAACAAGTTCATGCATACCCAGGGGATAGACGAGACTGTGCTTCGAGAGCCAGTCCGCGGCTCTATTCCCCTCCCGATACACATGCCCGATGCTGACCAACCAATCCTGCACCAGACACCTCCGAATCGAAGCCAACAAAGCGGCGTAGGGATGAACGGGGTCATGACGACTCTTAATCAAAGCGATAGCCAACTGAGAATCCGACTCAACAAGGACACAAGAACACCCGGCTTTCCTGGCGAGATGAAGGCCATAGTAAACAGCCCAGAGCTCGGCAAGGGTCGCCGAGGCTTCACCCACTTTAGCAACAAAGCCCCAGATCCACTTACCATGCTCATCGCGGATAATACCCCCAGCTCCAGCAAGCCCCGGGTTGCCCGCCGACGCCCCATCCACGTTAAGCTTGACCCACCCATTTCGAGGGGGACTCCAATGAATCTGCGTCTCAATCCTCTCCGGCCTGGATCCCTGGCGGCCAAAGTTCACCGTAGGGGCCTGCCAAGCTTTATGCCACAAAATAGCCTTTTGCTGGATGGAGAAAGCAAAGGAGGGTGCAGAAAGCGCCTTCTGCAACCCCTGGAAACACCCTGTACACCTGTTCTTCCAGATACACCACACTGCAGTACTAAAGAAGCTGTTCCAATTCATACCAGACTCCATCACATCCTCCTTAAGAATATTGTCTCGGACCCAATCTTCCCGACTGCTGCTGAAAAAGCTCTGATGCTCCGCCTGAGGGATCCATCTCAGCCAAAAGAAACGAGCAGGGTAGCAATCCCGAAGCAAGTGAATGATGGTCTCTTCGTCATTCCCGCATCTAAGGCACATGGGGGACTCCGCACATTTACGGGAATAGCGGAGAACATTAGTCGCAATGCGCCCTAGAGACATCAGCCAAACGAAACACCTGACCCTTTCTGCAACCGGGAGATTCCGAATGATTCGCCACATCTTCTCATTCGGATCGTGCCTTGGAGGCAAGGCTAGACTGTAGGCCGAGGAGGTTGAGAAGTGGCCATTCGAGGAAGCGGTCCAGAGGATAGTGTCTTCTTCCAGAGAGAGGGGATCCACCAGGTTCGCCGTGATCTTTTGGAGCACCTCGGGCGGAAGCCAATCCTCCAAGCGATCGATATCCCATCTACCTTCTTCATCAACATAATCCGCCACATGCTCATTCAGCATCTCCTCCGTTACCGGTTGAAGCGCCACCTCGGTCAAAGGAACCTGCAAAAGCCAAACATCACGCCAAAACTTAGCTCCTTTCCCATCATGAATATTCCACGCACAGCCCTTCCGAAGAAGGTTTGAGGCTATATTCAAACTGTTCCAGGTAAAGGAACCTCCCTTAACAGGACGAAGCACTTCCAGACCCTCCCGTTGCTTCCCGTACTTCGATCGCATGACTTGAGTCCACAAGCAGTCTTTTTCTTTAAGAATCCTCCACCCTCCTTTTGCAAGCATAGCCAGGTTTGCATGCCGGACGGACCTCAGACCCCCTCCTCCCTGAGCTCTGGGCTCGGCCATTTTATCCCACGCCACCAGATGAATCTTCCCTTTCTCCTCCTCCTTCCCCCAGATAAAGTCCCTGCTAATTTTATCAATAGCATTGCAAACATTCACAGGCAAAAGCTCAGTCTGCATAGGATAGACAGGGATGGACAGGGAAACTGATCTGGCAACAGTCAAGCGCGCAGCAAGCGATAGCTTCCTGGCTTTCCAAGGGGCCAGCTTCTTCTTGATCTGCAGCAGGAGTCCTTGGTATCGACCTCTGGTAACCCGACCATGAATCGTCTGAATACCTAAGTATTTCCCTAGGCTGGTGGCAAGGGGAATACCAGCCCTGATACTTAGGCGCTGGGCTCTGGCATGATGGATATTGGGGGAGATGTAGATGATAGACTTCGCACAGTTCACGCGCTGCCCGGAACTCTCACAGAACTCATCAAGACACTGCTTTATAATCTTCACCTGAGAGATTTTCGCTTCTGCAAACAAAACCAAGTCATCGGCAAAGAAAAGATGAGTTAGAGCCGGGCCACTCGGAGATAAGCGAATGGGATTCCATAGCTTATCTCGAACGGCCTTATAAATTCTGTGGGAAAGGCGCTCCATACATAACACAAAAAGGTAAGGAGAGAGAGGGTCTCCCTGGCGAACTCCACGAGTAGGGGTAATGGCCTCAAGCAGCTCCCCATTCCAGAGAATGCGCATTTTGTTCTGCTGAACACAATACATAATACATCTAATCCAAGAACTCGGGAGGCCAACTTCGATCAGGGTGTCCCTCAGAAAGTCCCACCGAAGCCGATCATAGGTCTTCTCCAGATCGATTTTCACTACCATGCCACCCTTACGCCCCTTCCTCTTTCTCAGCGAGTGTACAACCTCCTGAACCACCACTATGTTGTCCATCGTCTGACGACCTGGAATAAAGCTGGATTGCCGAGGTGAAACAAGAGTTCTCATAACAGATTTCAGACGACTCGTCATCGCTTTTGTAATGGCCTTCAGGCTGACATTGTTCAAAGAGGTGGGGCGAAGCTGTGTGACTGATTCTGGCTCTTCCACCTTAGGAATAAGAACTACAGTGGACTTCGAAACAGCGGGGGGAAGGTTTCCATGCTCAAAGAAAGATATCGCCATCTCTGACAGGTCTTTCCCAACTACTTTCCAGGCTTGTTGGTAAAAAACTGCTTGGAAGCCATCCGGACCCGGAGCTTGGAAGGGTTTCATGTCAAAAACCGCCTTGTGTATATCCATGATAGTGAAAGGTCGAAGGAGCTGAAACCAATCTTCCTGCCTGAGCCTGGGGAAATCCCCCTTCGGAAGCAGATCACTGTAGGGAGTGTCATCATGCAAGTAAAGCTCGGAGTAGAAGTTGAAAATGAGACCCGCCAACTCCTTCGTGTCTGTGACCCGCAAGGTTTGGGTATCTGACTATATCTTTAAGATTCTGGTCCGTAGCAAAGTACCACCACAATAATTATTATAATTATTATTAGAATAATTAAACCACAAGTAAAACACTGTTTTTTTTTACAAACAAGTAAAACACTGTTGATTACGCTTAATCATCTATATGGGCTTTGCCATGGCCGGTCAAGTGAGGCCCATTCCATTACCCTTAATTTTTTTTTATTGAGGGAGGCAAGGGCCAGGAACAAATTACAACTGCGGTAAGAAAAGAGAGTCAGCTCCTAACGTAGCAGTAGGAAGCCAAAACAGACTATCAAACTTAAACATTAACACTAGGGGCCTAACTTCCAGTACCAGCTCGTCCTTGAAGCACCTGTCTGGGGAAACTAATTCCCAACACATCGTCCTGCAGAAGCTTGTCAAGATTCGGAGGGGGGTCTTCTAGTTCATACGTACCGAAGGGATAGACGAGACTGTGCTTCGAGATCCAGTCTGCGACTCTATTCCCCTCGCGATACGTATGTTCTAGTCGAACCACCCATCCTTGCGCAAGTAATCTACGAATGGCTTCGAGAATAGTAGCATACGGATGTGCCATGTCGCGCCGATTCTCAATCAGGTCGAGAGCCAGTCTAGAATCCGTTTCCAGAATGAGGAATTGGCTGCCAAGTTTCCAAGCCAGCTGCAGACCCTGCCAAATACCCCACAATTCCGCCAAAACAGCTGTACCTGTACCGATCTTGGTGCAAAATCCTCCAATCCAGTCTCCATAACTGTTCCGAAGAACTCCCCCAGCTGTAGCAAGACCGGACGGGATCTGGGCAGCACCATCTGTATTCATTTTATACCATCCGGGAGCGGGGGTTTTCCAGCTAATAAGCTCCTCTTCTCGCTGACCTCTGTTAAGGTTGTCACTCCTCACGCTGCCCTTAGCCCAAGCTTTTGCCCACTCCAAAGCCTTGGTAGTCACGTAGTTGTGTAGAGTGGAGCTAGTCAGTTGTTGCCCTTTGAACACTTTGTCATTCCTACATTTCCATATATACCACAGGAGGAGACTGAAAAAACCCGCCCACGTACCAGCCCATTCACCTGTAGAATCATCCATTATATTGAGCTTGAACCAACTGTCGTGGTCTGTTAGAAAGAATTGTTGCTGTCGACTGCTAGGGACAGCCTTGAGCCACACTGCTTTGGCTATGGGGCAGTCTCTTAAGCAGTGTAGATTTGTTTCCGATTCATCGTTGCATTGTGGGCATTTGTCGTTTGTAGTAAGGTGTCTGCTCTTCAAGATGTTATTGGTCGCTAGCTTGCCTTTAATACCCCGCCAAATGAACACCCGAACGCGTTCAGGAACTTGAAGCTTCCAAATTCTTTGCCGAAAGAAGGCTGGTCTAGATGTGTCCTGAGGAGAGATTGCCATGTACGGCGAGTTGGTCGAGAACTGACCATTCGAGGTGAGATTCCAGATGATCCTATCGTCTTCAACTGTGAGCGGATCAACAATGATGCTCCGGATTCTATCTGTAGCATCACTCGGCAGCAAGTGCTGGAAGTCGCCTAGCTTCCATTTATGATCTGGCTCCCAAAAGTCAGCAACTTTCTTCTCCCTCAGATCATCCGACACTTCTCCTGTAGTGACTTCAGCCAAAGGAACCTGTAAGGCCCAAGTATCATACCAAAAATTAGTAGTGCGCCCATTTCCAATGTTAAAAGCACACCCTTTCTTTAAGACATTCACACAGCTAGTGAAGCCTTTCCAGGCCATTGAACTTCCCTTAAATTTTCGCAGAGCATCCATTCCTTCCCTGCCTCGGCTGTACTTAGCTCTCATAACACGAGACCAGAGGGTTTGGTCTTTGTTAATAATCTTCCAAGCTCCTTTGGCCAACATAGCCTGATTAGCTAGTCAGGTTGGCCTAATCCCTGCGCC